AATAGCCTTTGGTTGATATTATTTGAAATTAAAGCCCTAAAAGTCACAACTTTATTATAAATGTTATAATTTTACTTTGCACAGGGGTACTACTGCTCTGGCAGATTATTTCACTTAGTTTCAGAAGATTCAGATTCAATTTAAATTAAATAATCTGACAGTGGAATGAGATAATTGTACTTGGGAAGACTTCTTGAAATAAGGAAAATTTCCAGGCTAAAAATATTAACAATCTGACATAATCAGTCTCAAAACAAAATCAAAAATACTTTTTGGTTGGAAATAAGACTTGGTTAGAGATGAACATATTTTTTGCACTTTTACAAGGGAGCTTTATTTTTAAAAACCTCATGAAAACACATTGACACATGTCCAGTGTGTGATGCTGCATGAAGTTAAACGTTACTGAGCTGACGTTGCATTATAACTTGTTAGCTGCCTCAATGTTGGTATTAGACATATTTTATTGTTTTACTTACCAAGACGTTTCAGCGAAGGCTCCTGTAGTGCATCAAACACAGAACCCTGAGCGGTGTTTATTCAATGATGGTCAGGGCATACCCCCTACTTTTCACAACATAATCTAATTCTTTTATTAAAGTTAAGCTACACTTCTTGGTTGGTGATCAGRCGGCTCAGCTGAAGGTTTTGTTCCGCGGCTACTTCTTCCAGTCGGCGGACTAGGTATCACAACTAAGAATCAATGTTTTAAAATTACGATTCCCGTAGAATCAATATGTTAGTCCCAGATCCAGTCGATACTCGAGAATTGATGCCCAACCCTGTATCATGAATGTGCAACACAGGCATATACACAAAACAAAAACAAAAGGTCACACACTCTAACATTTCATTGGACCGCCTTTAGCTTTGATTATAGCACGCATTCACTGTGGCAYTGTGCTTCTGCAACGTCACAAGATTTATTTCCATCCAGTKTTGCATTAACTTTTCACCAAGATCTTGCATTGATGATGGTAGAGTCTGATCTTCTCCAGCACATCCTAAAGATTCTCAATGGACTCTGTGGAGCCAGTACATGTGTGAAAATAATGTCTCATGCTCCCTGAACCACTCTTTCACAATTCCAGCCTGATGAATCCTGGTATTGTCATCTTGGAATATGTCCGTTGCCATCAGGGAAGAAATAATCATTGATGGAATAACCTGGTCATTCAGTATATTCAGGTAATCAGCTGACCTCACTCTTTGAGCWCACCAAAAAAAGTGATTCACAAATGAATCACAATTCTCATTTACAATGATTCAAAATCAAAATAAAATGCCCCCAAATCAATAAAACAAATTCACTGGCTGTCTGCCTTTGTTTTGTAACTATGCGGGACGTCCTGACGTCTCCACTCAGCCAGGTCTGGATCTTATCCATGAGTGGAAAGTACGAAAACGAAGAGGAAACTACAAAAATGGAGGAAMGAGAGATTCAGCCARCTCTGTCAYTTGAAGGCAAAGATTTGGACTAATTTTGTTTTTTTTACCAAATACCCAGGAAGACTGAGCTGGACTAGAGCTTTACAGTGGTCAAGGTTTGCAAAAATCTCTTTTGAATCTAATGGTCACATGACTTAGCATCATGTGACCAGGGGGAATTGAAGGAATTTATTTGTCATTTAGACACTGATTTGAAAGCACCACATAATTTTCTTAGTTTTTCTAGTATTGATTCTTTTAAACTATTGTGTAACTWTTGTAATGTCCTGATTAAAATAGTATTAGTTACATGCCCAAAACATCATGACAACACATAGAAAAGCCACTAAAATCAAATAAGGAAAGATGTTTTCTGTACGAGTACCTGCGATTCAGCCGTAGGCCTGTAGGGGGCGTACCAGGCACTRAAGATCCRTGTAAAAATAGACCWGGACTTCCAATTTCAGGCAGCGCTGCTTTGCTTGCTTCAGCCGTAAGCAATAAAGCTTCGCTCAGATCCAGATCTGGGGTTGTATGGTCATTCTTTCCACATTTTACTCTATTCAACATTCATGTGGTTTTGTCACCATTTCAGTTAATGAACACAAAATATTCTTTCATGATCATGGCCCCAAAAAAATCTGAATCAAATCGAATCATGAAATGGTCAAAGATTCCCACTAATAACAAAGTGTGTGGGCATTTTGAGTGTGTTTCTCACAAATGTTCTTGACTCTCAGTCATCCACGTTTTWTTTGTTTCTTACTGTTTGAAAAACTTAATATGTAGACGAACTCAACACGATAAACCTCATGCCACACAGCTCGGACAGTAGTTTCTTGTTGATGGCAATCCAAGTGTCGTTTACCGTACAGTAACTGTCCTGATTGGTCAGATAAGAGTGGCCTGATCACACTTGACCCAAAAGTTAACACTTCTACAAAAATTCAGAAGTGAAAATGTTGTTTGACCAGTGTGCTGTGCATAAAATAGTAATGGGGTGACAAAAAAAGGGACCATCAGGCTGGAAGAGACAAAAATAGTTACTAACACCATAAAAGGAAAGAGTGGTTTAAGTGCAAAAAGAATCGGCAAACTTTTAACTACCGTGAMTCTACAAACGTAACTTTTCCTGAGCGTTTGCATATTTGAACCCTGCATGTGCTTCTTTTAACGTTTCCTGCCAACTGGGTCAGCCAGCTTAGTCGTCTTACAGAAATGGGTTAACCAGATTTCTAGACAGCTCAAAGCAAAACCAAGCCTAAAAACAACAAAAAAAGAAACCCACCCATCCACACAGTTCCTGTGTGACTCACTGCACATTCCATATTTTCTCCTCGAGCAGGTCAGAGGTCATCTCCTCACTATRTTCACAGTTTTCACTGCTGCCTAGGGAAAAAAAAAATCTCTTAGCTGACAATAACTTTAAACCTTTGGACAGTCGCCTCCTCTTTAGTTTTCAGTGTGTGGGCTTGTCTGGGCTTATTATCTTGGTTTTTTTTTCTTTCTTGTAATGTTTTAACTCCAGTGTACCAAGACTAACCGTACAGAATCTCTTTAATTGTGCAATAAGAGAYGTTTTCCCTTGTAAGTGCAGCGAGACCTGCAGCTTGAGACATGAGACTGCGTAATGTCTGTCGATGATCACATTTCTTTTATTGCCTGTCACTGGGCTACACCCAGTTTGTGTATTACAGCCATGTTGCTGTGCCTGAGAGCATGTTTTGTTATCCTTTAGCTGATTGTGTTCGGAGGGCCTCTGTACTGTATTTGCAGAGAAAATGTGTTTCCTAGACAGACACAGGCTGATTACCAGGTTTATGTGGTCATACCGCCCACACTGCAGGCCTCTTTCTTTCTCTCCTTGGCACCGGTGGCTGGAAAACTGCGTTCAATCGAGCCGTTACCAGATAGTCTCAAGAGATTTGTGCGTGAATCCGAGTCGGGGATCGGTGAGGAGAATCGGTCGGATCCAGGCGAGGAAGTCGATTCCAGCTGTGGTCTGGCAGCTGGAGGACAGCCGGAGGCTCGGGAGGAGACGTCTGTGAGTTTGTGAGGGTAAAAAACGAGGGAAGAAGAGACGCCGCAGCACTGCTGGATGTTTACACGGAAGAGGAAGYGAATATTTCACTAACTGGAAGTTATAGAAGTTTGATGAAAGATCTGCATTTTAGAACTCACATGAAGAATTAAAAAACTTATATTTGTACTAATTGAAAAGTATTGCCTCGTACTTCAACAGAATTGACTTTTTGTCTGTCAGAATTGAATGCTAAAATATTTTATTAATTATGACCCCCACACATGAAACAGGCATCATGTTTTTGTGCTGTTTATTTATTTATTTATTCAGACATTTTTTATGAACCGTAGCACAGAAACGACTGCACCAATCAGCATGGAATTTGGTAGGAATGTAAATGTGTGCGACCTGCACTGCGCCAGCCAAGGCCCGRCTCATATTTGCTACTGCTATGCAGTATCTAGTTTATTAAATGATTAAGTTACTTTTTTCTGCAAAGTTGTAATTTATCTTTTTGAGTAAAATCTAAAAGCTGAAGCACACTGTCAGGCCTTTTAGATTTACAATGATTTCTTTATAAATGGCGGTAGGCTATAGTTGGATCAAAAATCAACACAAATGTCAAAGTTTTTATTTTATTTTATTTTATTTTTTTGCATCACAGCTACATTTCTGTAGTACAAGTTAAAAATTATTCAGGTCAATGACTAAGTTGCACAGTTTATCATATTTTATCATACTTTGTGTTTGAAGTTTACCAAAAAAGGATGTTAATCTTATGAAATTACAAAAAAAAATACATTTTGCTTCACTTCTTAATAAAAACTGTGAATGAATGAACCAAAACCTAATTGTTGGTATTTTTTGTTTTCTTATATTTATG